TTCCCTATAACTAACTTGAAATTGTTGTTCGAAACCCAGCATTTTTCGAAAATATCATTGTAAGACTTTTTGTAATATAGTTTAACAATGATGCTATTTTGAATAAAAAGAAACTCTAGTAGCAAAATATGATGAAACGAACTAATCTTTTAAAGAAAGGGAGCACAAGGATTGCCATAAATTTAGATATCAGAATATTGAGAGAAATATGACTAAAAAGAAAGCTTTGAATGAATGACAAGAAGGATGAGATAAAGAAAAGAAAGAAAAGATTACTTAGCGCTTGCTTCCTCACAACAATTTAGGAATTTTTTCTTTGTGGAACTTCTGAATAAAGTTCTAATAAGCCATGACGTTTCTCCGTTATACTTGAATAGTTTTGGTTTGAAAATTATCAAATGTAAATGCAGTTTGACAAATGGAAATTACATTCAAAAGCTGATTCCTTTCCAAATAATAGCTAAAATACGTGGAAAGATCTAAAATAACTAGGTAAGTAATTTCATGGAACAGCAGTTCCATCGTAAAATAATGAAATGTCCGTATAATTGGAATCATGTAATCAGAACGCTTTTAATTATATTTAATACGGAGGTTTTAAACTATAATCTATAGCAATAAAACTTACTTGATATTTCCATGGCAACACATGCACACTATAAATTGTACTGTATTATATTTTTAACAACTATTATAATCTCAAAAAGTTACCGTAAGGCCCACATGCCATGTGATGATTATTCTGCCTACAGCTAGATGATTGATAGATTCTCTCTCTCGCTTCTCATGTAAGCTTTCGACCAGCTCTTCGCATGAAATAGACTTCGATTTCTTGAGAAAAAGCGTCTGTATTTTTCTCTCTGTTCTTAAATACAGAATCTTAGAAAATTACATCAGGATACTACAATTTCAGACTCCTTACATGGAACATTTTCATGTCTTTTCTGAAGTATTTACAAGTTGCAGTAGAAACTCAGATTAACCCGCTGCAGCGTCGTAGTATTTTCTAAAATAAATCTGTTGCAGAGGGGTTCTTTTTCCACTAAAGATGCCGTTACATAGCTAACGAAGTCAATACTATCAACTATCAGAACTCTAGAAGGTGGTCTCATTTTGTGGAAATGAGTGTATATATTTTATGATCAATGACTCACATTTAAAGTCTCTATTGAAGTGAATTAAAAGGTGATTAAATTTCTGTGTTGAGGAGCCCTTAATGTTATGAATTTATTTCAGTTTTCGAAGTTATTCGCAAATGCATAAAATTATTCTTAAAGAAAAATTTAAGAACAATTTTATTCATTTCCAGTCTTTCGAAACCATACTTGAATTGGGGATTCGCATATTTTATACTAATGAAAAGGATTTACGAAATTCTAAATATTTCTCCATTTACACATGCAGCTAATTGCTTTAGACTATCTTTATTGGAGCATGTGAGGCTATATATTAACTCAGTGATAGTTACAAAAATGTAAACTTTTGATTAATCAAATTTAAAAGGTAATTCGAACTTTATTTTATATATAATTTAAAACAATCCCCATTAAAAACATTACCTTCATTTATGCAAAGAATTTTATCTTTGAAAAGTTTTTCACGTTGAAATAATTAATATTTCTCCTTTATTGTTTTAATATAGAAACTTCCTTACATTTCTTGGCAAATTATACTAACGTAACCAGCAATTATTTTGGCCAAAGTCTTCCAGAAAATTGAGAACTTCTGTAGTAAAAGATAAAATGGGTTTATTTATCATTATTTATGCTTCATATATATATGTAGTATGTCTTTCAATATTTTGTTTCGGTACTTTCAAAACGACAGCTTCGGCGACCACTCGTGTGGAAAACATGTCACGCTCTGATTGGTGAAAGCTGGAGAAAAAGAAAGTGGCTAAGAGAAAAGCTGTATTTAACGATTTTGCGGTTTTGGGTGGCGTAAAAAGGTCACAACTGTTTGCAACCCATCGATTCACAACCATACTGCTGTCTATGATTCGTTTATGAAACAAAACAAAACAAAAAAAAAAAAAAAAAAACCTAATCGATTAATGATCTGGAAATCTTTGAAGCCACTCTTGATGGACAATTACTAGGATATCATGAAGAAAATTTTAGAACGATTACTAGGGTGATGCGTTAAATCTTAGAACAGAAGTAGTTTGAAACCGAATGAGATCCGATGAGATATATTCGATAAAATATTAATCTTTTAGAACATCCTTAAACCTACTTTTTAAGGTCAGCTCATTGATTTTGGGGGCTGAAAATTCAAAATGAATGACCATGAAACTGAAGCTTAATTTCTATTGCAGTCAACCATCTCAGCAGGTAAAAATTGTGCCCATTGGTATGTACATTCTTTTTTTTTTTCAGGAGTGAGAGGGGGTTAAGAAAGAACAAAAATAAATCCATAAATCTTAATCACAGCTTCAATTTAAAAAGTGCGTGATCAAATATATTTTTATGTTACATAAGATTATTTCACCCATTACTGAGGAATTTCAGCACATTTCTTGCATTAACGCTTAAATATGCAAATATGAAAAAAGACATATTAGGAAAGCGTCGATACTTTTTGAAAGTTAACGGAGTCATGGATTCATTACTAAATAATTGATCCAATTTTGGGGGCTGAACGGCTGTAATTCCAAAATTGGAATAGATACACTGAAAGTTCTTTGAAGCTTTAATTTCTATATAGGCAGTTTTTTAAAAAAAAAACCCACCTATCTTGAGAACCAACACACAATAAGTTAACATGTGCCCTTTTTCGGGGTACCCCCCCCCCCCCCCCCCCCCCCCCCCCCCCCCCCCCCCCCCCCCCCCCCCCCCCCCCCCCCCCCCCCCCCCCCCCCCCCCCCCCCCCGCAGGTGTATAATTTGTTTTTTTTTTTTTTATTTTTTTTTTTTTTTTTTTTTGTTTTTTTTTTTTTTTTTTTTAGGAGTGAGAGGGTAAGAAAGAACAAAATAAATCCATAAATATCTTAATCACAGCTCAATTTAAAAAGTGCGTGATCAAATATATGTTTATGTTACATAAGATTATTTCACCCATTACTGAGGAATTTCAGCACATTTCTTGCATTGACGCTTAAATATGCAAATATGAAAAAAAGACATATTAGGACAAGCGTCGATACTTTGTTTTGAAAGTTAACGTCAAATAAAATCATTTTAATTACATAGAAAGAGATTTTTGTTTTTTTATTAATGAAGCATGGATTCATTACTAAATACACCCAAACCTCGCTGCAGTGAGTCCAATTTATAACGAAGTAACTTTTTACTCTCACTGGATCTCATTAGACATTCAATTTCCTGTATACTTAATATAATTTTAAACGGCTGTAGGGAACTTCCAGATGATAAAAATTGGATCTAATGAGCTTTATAGATATCTTTGACTGAAAGTTCTTTGTATTTTTTCTAAAACTTATCCATGTTTAGAATATTAGGATACATTCATGTGAGGGTATAGGAAAATACCTTTACGTTATTGTTCTTTTAGTTTTAGGCCCACTTTTCTCCATGTTCTCAACAAAGGCTGTGCGAGGGAGACATAAACCTAGTTCTTGAGAACCAGAACACACAATAAGCATTTCTCGGAGCGCTATTGCACACCCGTCTGCTTCAGACGGAAGTTTCAAACACTTTTCTGGGGCTTTATTTTTGCAAGAAAAATGGGCGATTTTTTCCTTTCTTATTCAAAACATTTAGTTTGTACACTTTTATCCAATCAGCGCTAAACCAATGACCTTGAATTATAGCTCTATTTGAGTAATGTCTCTGTCTATAATGAAGAATCAATTTCCTCCTTTCCGATTTCCGCAGGTAGTCCCAAAATGATTCGTGATGACTGGCTATCCATTATATATCATGTAACAAAAACAAAAAATTGCATTAAAGAGGTTTTCTTCCAAAATGGTTTTGAATAATATGTTGTCCTTGACCATTGAGTCAAAGAACTTGAACGGCTTTGTTGCTTCCATTAATATGTTTTTACTGAGATGTCAGAGACAGCTCTGTTCAAGACTGATGTTATGATGGAAATTTTGAAATTTTTTCTATTCCTATTAATTTTTTCTGTAAAAGGAAGTAGTGGATATATTCTATGAGCTAGGATCAATACAAGCGACTCGTCATTTTCCCTTGTTGGTTGGTTCAGTTCAGTATTTGAAACAATGTTCAAGATCTCTCTTCTTAATGGTGTATTTCGTATTTTGTATTTTTTAGCGCTATTTTTCTTACAAGGGTTACTGCAACTCTGCTTATCTTAGCAACCATACTTATCTTAAGAGGAATATATGTGTTTTCACTGGACATTGAATAGGACAGATTAGTGATGAACTAATATTTACTTTTCATAGTTTACAGATGAAGCATCACGTATTCCTTTACATAACTCTCTTCACTCTATACGAAAGAAATTTTCTGTGTCAAAAATATATCTGTACCCCAAGCTGTAAACTTATAGCGTTCTGCATTGAAGATAGGGTGAGTCATATTCTAAAAACACACAATGGATGTTGCCAAATGGAATATCTAACAAGAATACAGATTAGACAAATCTACAATTTTTCTACATGGTTTCCAATTGTACGATGTAGAAGAATTGGCATTCGACAATTTCTACCTATGGAAAAAATTTGGATATCCGAGAAAAGGTGACCAAAACCGAGCTTAAGGATGTTGAAAAGCATTGGTGAAATGATGCATTATTCAAAAATGTCGCAGTCTTCCAATATCTACACAAATGTTTCCGATGAAGGCAATGAATTTACCAAAAACTTTAGATAGACTGCCATTTCGTGTTCAAATGACTGGCTGCAGAAATTCAAGAAGCAGAATACTATTCTTTCAGAAAAAACTGGTGAAGCAGAGAACGTTTCCAAATTAGATTTTGAGAAACTTAAAAAAGTGTCTGGAATGATCTCTGTCTTCATTTAAAAAAAAAAAAAAAAAAGTGAAAGAATAGGGGAGAAAAAAGAAAAAGACATTTTCAACGCCAACTGAAAAAGTATTTATTTACCACAAAAAGGCATCATGTAACAACAGTAAATTTTACATTAAGAACTGAACTGTATTTCCATTTACATTCCTGTCAAAAATAAAGTAAATATTTGTCCCGCTTGTAGCTTCTATATGTAATATTTTTATAATCACACATAAAAAACAATTACATTATTATTTAATGACTGGATTAATTTTTTTATTTCTGCCATATTACTCTATATTTGATCTTTTAATGCTGTGAAATATTTTATTGAATTAAAAAGTTGCACAAGTGTCATGTCAAGTATAAAGCACAAGTAATAAATTTAACAACTTTATTCCAATTGCGTGGTTTAGCACTCGTCTGCGGGTTGGTAGATGAATATGCTTATTTGTAATTATTAATTAATTTTTAATAATTAAGTCTATTTATTTATCATTGTTTCCTCATAACATAATCTTCTTCTCTTCCACTTTCTTCTCAAAGCAGCAAAGTGTGAACGCTTCGTGATGGATATTTCTCGATGTTTAAGAAGCCATGCTGTAAACCTTGGTACATTTTCAACATCAGATTCAACTTCAATGCAATTCAAACGAATGAGGGTTAGACAGAACCTAAATTTCAATTTATTATCCTGCATTTCGAATCTGATTCCCTCAAATGAAACATTTCTTTTTACAAGCCCAAGTTACATACTTTTTTCTCTTCCGCTTTCTTCTCAAAGCAGCAAAGTGTGAATGCTTCGTGATGAACATTTCGTGATGTTTCGTGAGCACTGCCATAACCTTTGGTAAATTTTCATCATCAGATTCAATTCGTTGTTGAGATTAGTCTAAAGCAATTTCTGTTCAGAAACAACCACATAATTTACTCCTATATACAAACTTTCAGTTCATTATTTGGCATATCTAGTGCCAAACATTTTAAGAATTACCAGTGTTTGGCTTTGAGAATCAGTGTTCTCAGATTTGAAGAAAAATACATCGATCAACGACATTTTTAAAGTTAGCAAGCATCACTAAAATTATCGCCTTAAAAGCCTTCGAATGAGCCATCCATTAATGGGGCTTCTACGTTGAAAGTTTGAAAAAATACGGTTTGGCACTCGATTTAACGGGAGAAGCTTCATGCGTTCATTTTCTAAAGAATTTAAGTTATGAGGTAAGTTATTTCGTAGAACAGCATTTCTGTATTCTTGGTCTGCATATTTCATTAAATTTAATCTTTCGATATACTTTGGAGCTCCTCCCGGGGCTTCTAAAATTCTTGGCATTTTAAATGGCGGATTTCTTTGAACTCCAAAAGTAGTATCCCTTGTTTGAGTTTTCGAATTTACATCTGTGTGTTCCTCCTTGTAGGCATCTTGAGGCTTGTTTTCAATCTGATCTTTTGAAGGGCTTGTTCGAGGTTTCGTTTTGATGACGATGGCGAAATCTTTTATATCTATGGCACGATCTTTCTTGTTTTCGTCGTCGTTTTCTGGTGGCTCATCTTTAGGGTCTGGGCTCTCGATATTTGAGAAATCAGTGAATGTTTCAAATCTGCCCTTATTCGGAAAATCTTCATTAATGTCTTCCGTCTCGCAATCAGAGTTTAGAAACTCATCAAATTCCTTCAAACGGTCGAAAGGATTTCCACGAACTTTTTTTGACCTCAGCGCTGCTTGTTCTTCGTACGCATCATATTCGTGATATGTTTCTCTGGGCCTCTTAGTTTCATAATTCCTTCCACTCGTATCCACATTTCGAAGTTTCGATTGCAGGAACAGCTCTAAGTCCTTAAAAGTTCTTACTTTAGGACTTTTATAATATGGTGTTGAGGGTAGACGATATGGTTTCGACAGCGGTTCATAGTCTTTAAATCCAGTGACATGTGAAAAGGGAGAATCCCAAATTACAGGATGGAGATGAGCATCACTGACACTAAGAGATGGCTTTTCTCCAGCACTTTTATGTTGATGATTATGATAATGAATGTGGTATTCTTTGTATTCGTTGGGCTTTTCGATCTTTTCCTTCCGAAAGCTGTGCTCTGATATCATTTCCTTACTAGGTTTCCTCTTAACAACCCGCACTGTTGTCACGGGTGCAGGTTTGCGGTCACGAGCTTCTTTCTCAATAAGATCCATTAGCATATCAATTTCTTCGGATTCTTCATGACTTGTTCCCTCCCTGCTACTTTCTACTGATTTGTCATTAGGATCTTCACGAATAACAACTACTTTGACGCTGGATATTTCTTGAAATAGTGCAGCCAAGAGGAAAATTAAAGGTACCTGAAAATGAAATGAAATGCATATTTTAAGAATCTTACAATTTTTTCCTTTGCACGTACAAAGTTATCACAAAATTTATTCGAATAGTTTAGGAAAATTATACAGGATTTCTCAACTCAATGCACGAGAATAGAGTTTGAAAAACATTTATTAACATTATTATGCATCTACTAATTTTGTGTTTCATAAATTTCTAGCGAAACATATTTCCTGATCGTTTAGAATTTTGTAAAATACCAATACATCTCTAAAATACTTAACACATTTTAACAAGCATTGCATTTTTGTACCACCTTCACTTAAAAAAGTCTTTGAGAGTTTGATTTTTAAAAGAACATTTCATTGTATTTTAAATTTTAATTTTAAACTATGGCTTCCAAGAATCTGTTTCTGTACTAAGCTTATGTAATGTTAATTATTGTCTTAAAATCTCTAATATAGGTATGAGTCAATTCCTTTTCTATTCTGATGTTTTATTTAACTGACGATGCATTTATTCTCTATTTTTAGATATTTGCGAATTTTAATATTTTTTTTTATAAAACTTCTACTAATTTAATAAAAAAACATAAAACAATTTTAAGACGTGTTATTAGCAATGAGCGTAAAACATTTTAAAATATTTCGTTAAACATCTTTCGATTTATAAGAAATTAAATTATTTAAAATATTAAGAACTATAAAACTCAGAAAAATGCAGAATTTCTAAAACGGGTTCTTACATGTGTCTATGATATCGATATGAAATTTGCAGCATAGATATGTTAGTACCTAAATACTCTTTTGATCTAAAATTTAGTAAATTTATATTTGCAAAATTTTTATCAAAAACTCAATGATCTTTTCCTTCGAAAATAATCTAATTTAGCAATCGACCAGAACATGAATGAATTTCATAGCATGGTTGGTAACTCTCATGTGTCCAGCGCAACTTCTTCCTAACAGAATAAGCATTTAATTTATAATATCTGTTTAATGATACAGATTTGCTAAACAGATGAAACATTAAAAACACAAAAACTGTGCATTGCAATGCTGTCAATCATCTTATTCAACAATACTTAGTAACAAACTTATTAAACATTATAAATTATTTGAGTTTCATACAGAATCTAAAAATGTCGAAGTGTTTATTAACGGCCTTTTAAGACCATATAGAAGACACTTTAAGCGTCAATTATGAATGTGGTACACAGCTATTACTCATCAGAGTAATTACTTATGTTGCATTATGGTCCACAAATAAAATACTTAGATAACGAATCTTGGTCTCTTTTTATGAACATTGTATTAAACTGGGGAAAAAAAAAAAAAAAAAAAAAAAAAAAAAAAAAAAAAAAAAAAAGGTAACAAAAATAAATCCTAATTCTCTTAACAACTTCATACGGTTCTCTTACCACTGCCAAGATACTATTTGTGGTACTAAGAAAAACGTTCAACTTCAGTCTTCGTTTCCTCTGCGACACTCTTTTCATTAGTCCTGATATTTTTCTTCCACGCGCTGTATCGTCCAGTGTCTCTTCATCATTATACTGTGCTCCTCGTTATTCTTATTATGCTTACTCTCAACTCTTTCCAATTTTATATTACCCCAAACTTTCAAACTCTTTTTTTTTTTTTTTTTTTTTTTTTTTTTTTTTACAAACATGTTTCGAAAGCATTTGGGCTAACGCCACATTGGGCTAAAAATATTTAAAATAGGCATATCTTAAGAATGAGCGCTGGACATAAAAACGTTTTACTCCCTACACTGTTGTCATTGTTCGTTTTGAAATCGGTGAGTATTTTTTAATAAAAACTCGTTAAAGGTTTACAAAATATGGAGTAGACAATAAAACAAATTCCAAATTCGGGCTTCCAGGTAACCATGCTCGGGTGGAGGATTATGTTATTCAAAATTTGATGACTCTAGGTACCGTTGTTGTTTCACAGTGCAAGAAACATACATACATTCGGGCAGATTCTTCGTTATTTTATTTCTTTAAATATAATACAGGGCGGAAATATTTGGTGGAAACAATTTGAAAAGTGATTCGGACATTTAAAATGGTTCCACGCAAAATGCCGTTTTGAGACTATAGTAGCCCTTGTGAGCTAACGCCAGTTTGGGTTAATTATTTCTAGTCTTTACTCAAGCTTTTGTAAGGAAATAGTATTATTACAAAATCTACCTTATCTTCTTACGATAAACATTATCCTTGGCTAAAACGAAATAGCATTTTATCTCTCAGGGAAACAATAGACAATATACTCACGCTTAAAAGGAATGCAAACAGAAGGATTATGAATTATCAGCAGTTTACAGTTGTAAGGATTTAAATTATTCAAAAGACTCAACATACCAAGAGCATCTTACTTGGTATTTCACCGAATATAATTTAAATTATGGGTTTGCGGGTTCTCTTTTGTTCATAAATTTTCTCAAATGTCATAATTTTAAGTCATAACTCTATCTCAGAAACCATATTTGGTTTGCCAATAATGAAGTAAAGGTAAACGGATACTCTAGCATATATTATTTTTTTTCACACGCTTAAACTTTTAAGCTCATAACTGGTGACGCATATGTATAATAGTGCAGTTTATAAAGACCATTGTTTAAAAAAAATGGGTTCAAAAGAGACTGCAATGAAGTAAAATTTTAGATTACCGTCTAGTATTTCAAAAATTTACTGTTTAAAAATGTTAAAAGATCCTCAGATTGAGGGAAAAAAACTGCAATCTAATCTTTATCTGCAGACTTCAATTTGGCACGTGATGTAATTTTAAGCCAATCATTTACGACAGGTATGCTAGTTTCGGAATTAGTCCACCAGAAATTAAAGAAAAAAATATTATGTAAAATGAGCTATTTAGAAGGACAAACACAAGTAGCAGAAAATTTGGTATTATAACATTATTTCATTGTAAATTAACACCACAAAAGTATATGCGTCTTTCTTTAATAAAGAAAACACTTTATTCACGAAATAACTATGTATTCATTTTACTGGATCTGTGAACACCAGAGGCTTTTGAGAAATGCTTTTCTCATTTGGTAAAAATTTCTTTTTGACACGATATCCTCAAAATGTAAACAAAAAGCACTTCGAAGAAGTTTCCTTCGATGTGTTCAAAAAAAAAAAAAAAAAAAAAAAAAAAAGTAGGCAGTCTTCTTCAGTCCTTTTTTTCGGTGGAATTTTAAGAAAGAAATCTCAGAGTAATCCAGAATTCAATAACATTAATTTCGCGGAATTTTCAGTGACTAGAAACGCAGTTAGAAATGAATAAAACGACAAATGATTGAAGAATATTATGGTGCAAAAATTTTAATTACAGTTACAAACATCATGTAACATTTGATCCATTGAAAAGTAAAAAATATATCAAAACAAACACTGAATATGGCAAGTATCATTAGTAAACACTGGCTGAAAATGACCTGGATGTATAACAATGTAAATAGCATTTCTTTAGAAATATTTGGTTTACCTGATTTCAAACAGCATTTTCTGTCGATCTTGGTATACTTATGATTTCGACATAATTATAAAATCTGATCTAGATACCACATGACTTCCTTATAAGGCCTAACTGACTTAATTCACTATTCTACTAAGAGTTTCAAATGTAAATAAATGGTGGTCTCGTTAGGCCTACCGCTACTTGCTTAAATTGTTGATAGTTCTACGACTATTGCATGCAAATTAACTAAAGGCATACAAGCTTCAACCGGAACATAAGAACAACATAATTCAATCACTTTTAAAGCACAAAATGCACAATTTACCAATATGTACATGTGTATATATGTATGTAAGAAAAATAAAGAATATATAAAAGATTAAATTAGCAACGTAAATTTCCCTTCTCTATTCTAAAAATAGTAACCTCTCTCTGCGTCATTTCGAGACTATTCTATGTCCTATGATTCTTACGTAATTATGATGATGTAAATGGAACTAAATCAGCCAATAGTAATTTTAGAGCAATATTAATTGTCTAACCAGAATGTATTGAGAACCAAAACTAACTCAGTCTGACTTGAGATTTCATCCTGAACATTACGCACTTGCTTTCCACGCTTTGGCCTAGCTACACTGCTGTCTGCCTGATGCTGCTTTCTTGCTACAAAGTTATCAAAAATATAAGCCTTTTGGAACAGGCGTATTTAATGTGCCGAGTTGTGTATAACTGAAAATAAAACTGAAGATTTTCTACCTTCGTCTTCAATGTCCTAGTCATTATGGATCAACATTTCTACGCAATCAAAATTCCTGCTCCTGAATATGTCGCATGTATATAGTGGATATATACATATATACATTTTTAGTGCGGCCGATTGCAACAAAAAAGGGAGGTGCACAACTACATGTTATAGCAGTCCCATATATAAAATTTCGATATTCTGCGGCTAATAATTTTTTAATTATGCGAGATACATACAAACGTACATACAGATATCACGAAAAAATCTTTTCTGAATCCACTTCAGATTCATTTTACAATCCATTTGGGGAAAAAAGTCTTTCACTCTGTCCTTCCTTACAGATTTCACGCAAACAAAAATCCTTCAAATGGATTCAACAGCGGTCAAAATGGATATTTGCGTTGAAATAGGATACCCAAAATTTTTCATGATTACAATATTTCCTTGACTTCGTACAAGGAAGTAAAATGAGGATTTGCAATCTAATTCTCTTCAAAAGTTTTTCATTTCTTTATAACGAAAATAACACAGAATAATGCCCCATATCCTTAAAGAATGTTATTAAAATATACTGCTTTCTCTTCTTCTAGGTTAAGAAAATATCGTTAGCTTAATGCTGATCTATTTCAATGCTAATTTGAAAGGAGAGACATATATTTGAATTTTATATAACTAAAAATTCGCACGGTAAAATTCTTAAAAATACTTAAATTTATGCAAATCTGCATAAAAATAGCTTGAGCGTAGATGGATAAGAGTAAAGGAACCGCTAAAAGTTTCCCCACTTAAATTCATGATTAGGGACACAGAT